GAACAACTCTTTGGTTTCCCAGTCACTCAAGTCAATGGTCCAAGAATGTATAAGGGATTCATTCGATAACATTTTTCCCTCATGAAGGAGAACATCTTCGACACATGTTCCTGAAGACAATATCCATTTCTTGGACTTATCATTCCTGTATAGAACTCGGTGAAATATTTCAACTTTGATGGGAGTAATAATGGTGCAGGCTTTGGACCATCGGTGTCACTGGAAAAGAATATGAATACGGCGGTGATAAGTCTAAAAATCAAAGGGTTGCAGGCTGATTGTCCTCTTGAAAATAGTGGTTACCTGGGCATATACTCTGACCCTGAACTTTCCGATTCAGATTCTTCATCTTCGGACTCGGCCTAAAAAGAATAATGCTCATTAATGGCTACCCAAAAACTTTGACAACACAGTTCTTTGCGAACCACCATACGCTGTCATCTCCCTCGCTGTTTGGATCAGACTTAAGCCGTTTATTAAACGAATTTGTCAACTGTTTTTCAGTTCCAGAGGAATTGTCAAAGAAATCGTTGATCTCATCGTTACAATCCTATGAAAAATGTAGTTTATCAGAAATTTGTGACTTTTGTACCATCAGGTAAAATGCTCCGATCTTCAGAGATAAAGGTAATTTTTTTAAGGTAAAGGTAATTTTTTTAAACTGCATCAAAATGTAAGAACGAATATAGTTGAGTTGCTTTTGCCCTTATCGTCGATGACCTCACCTTTTTTGTATGTGATATAGAGAACAAATCAGTATAGAAACAGGACAAGATGCGCAAAAAAAGAACATAGATAAATATGTATGTAGAAATATGCATGAAGTTCTCTTAAAACCACAAATAACATTTACCTTGAAGGGTTCTTTGTCTTGTTCTGAAGTTGCGGAGTTATTTTCACCGGAAACATGCTGATGACCATAATCCCTTTCATTTGCCTCTCGATTATCATAGTTTGTGCGAACTCTCTCTCCATGAGATTTTACCGACGTGTGAAGAGTTTGAAGACCTTCTTTGTCTATTATTAACTTCGTTTCAATCTGTATTTTTTTAGAAAGATTAATAAATATTTTAAAATGAGGTGCGCGCAAATTCTACCTATTTTCGTACGATCAAGAATAATATCTAACCAATACAGGCGGTTATTCTCAGATTTAACCTCGAAATTAAGCAATAATGGCAATGTTAGGAATCAAACATCATTGGTCACCTAATGCTCCTAAATCAGGTAGTCACCTGTTTGGAGTGTCGTCATTAGTCACTCGAGATAATGATAACTAGGTAGTCACCTAATGCGCCTAAATCAGGTAGTCACCTGTTTGGAGTGTCATCATTACTCCTCAGAAAAACATACCTTTTTTTTCAAATCAATATTATTGTTTAGTTCTTGACCTGCCCATGTAAACCTCCTCGACCACGTTCCATCAAGAGCGTGCCAGTCGTCATGAAATGGAGGGGCTGTAAGAATTTTTTCACGGTAAAGCACTAAAAACTGGGAAAGGGACCATTCTTCCGCTCTGTGACTATTTGAGTATTCAAGAAGCTCTGCAAGTCAAAGTAAAAGAAATATAAACTCAATAAACGCGTCATTTACGCGCGTTAAAAAAAATATTACCTTTGCTTCCTTGATAAAAATTAACTCGTGACATGGAAGCATGGGACAATCTGATGGTGAAATCTGTTGATCATCTGTAATTGGGTTGAAAAATATAATGGTAACCAACATCCGGATAAAGTGACACGTAAAAACTCGCGTACAAAAAGTGAAGCTTTAATCATAATTTTTTCAAGAAAATGCCACGTTTAAAGCTCGCTGGTCCTTGTGCCATTGCCAACTGTACCAAATACACACTCTTTTTACAGAAATGCATATAAAACAGCACAACAGGAAGAAACGCTGCACCATTTCGCGTTCTTAAAAAGTCGGAGACCATCTTTGTTGCTCATTATAACGATATAGTAGCATCCAATCGTAATAAAAAAAGAAAATGTTCAAAAACATTCTCACATAAGCAAGTAGAAATAACTATGATAGTTCAATCATTGTAAATTTGAATTAAGAGAGTGGGAAAGGTATGAAAAAACAATTGAAAATAAAGTATTTGATAGCAATGATTACCTGCATAATATTATGTATAAATAAATAGTTATTATATTTTTTGCAGAAGATTCTTTTTGGAGAAAAAATTAAATTGCTTACAAATATAATGTACTCAAAGAGATGAAAATATTTACAGGAAATCATGCAAATTTATCTTTGACTATTAAAAGTGTCAAGAAGGAAATTTTACATATAATTTTGCCCAATATCTTACTCGTATTCTGATTCTAATCAGACATAATGAAAAATTCAGAATTCAAATAAATTTAGAACGCAGCAAAAAAATAAATGTTTTGTTACACATTTGATCTGGCATATTACATGTACCCCTTAAAAAAACCACTTGATATCTTGATGTTACTACCGATTATAAATTTAAATTTCGGCACTGGTCCGATTCAGCACTGTCCGTAGGCTTCCCGATATCGATTGGTAGAAAATTTAGTTTCTTTGTTGTCGTAATACATGTATAGAAAGGTTTTAAATATCAATATTACTATAAAGAGGTTTCTATATGATGTTCTTATAAAGTGTGTTCTTATAAAGAGGTACGACGGTTACATTTGACCCACAAATTGTATTAGAAATCGATTTCTTCAGAAAAAAGCTATAAAACACTGTCTTTTCGACTTATTTTCGTTCGTATACACGACAAATGAATATCACAATCATTATAGTTAAAATTTAAAGCCCGAAAAATAAATTCTAATATCATTAATATCATTCTGAAACTTTTAGTACGGCTTTTAAAATCTATGGATCAAGAAGGTTCATTTTCAGATATGGGGAGAAAACAAAAGATTATTTAG